TATGTACAATTAGAGTTACAAAGACGTGTATGTGTATGTGTGTGTATGCTTGGCTTACCTTCTGGCAAGGATATGTCGTTGTTGCGTACACTCACGCGACAATCATGCTCTCTAGCTTTTATAATTGCTTTTATCGCAACATTATTTTGTACGAAAGTCGTAATTTTTTGTGCAGCATGTCTTCACTAAATTAAAATCAGTTTATACAGTTAATATTATGCTTTAATTAAAATTCAAAATTGAAGAAAAAGAGCAAACGAGACGAGAACCGAAAGCGGCTTATAGCGCAGAGCTCCTGCTCATTAAAGCCTAGTGCACGACGCTACTACATGCTTCTATTCCAGCACGACAACAACAACAATTGTAAACGTTTACAAATATTTACTTGCTTTGTAGCTGAAAACATTTTGAATTGCATTTTCGTGCATGGCACACACCAACACAACAACAGATGCAACAACAAGCGTTGACAATCGTAAAACCCCATTCCCTCTTTTGATGTTCCCTGCCGCTTGCTGCTTGCCTCTCGCTGAAATTGAGTTTCGCGTGTTGCGCATAAATGCGCTCCTGTGCCGCGTGACGCTGATACAGCGACGCCAACAAATGAAATTATGCACAGCTGGAGCTTGTGAAATTCACGTACCGTTGCTGTTGCTTCTGCGGACCAACAACAATGAAGGTTACAAAAGATATCGGTAATGGAAACCAATGCAAAGCACAAATAAAGGTGTGCACACACAGACCTACACATAAACACACACACGCACACATGTGGTCTGAGTGAACTGAAAATCGCGGCGTTCGTTTATTTTTTCCAAACGATTGGTGTGTACACAGTTATTGTACACACTCTTTATTCATATATACAAAACAGTAAATGGTTGTAGGTGTGTGCGTTCTTATGAACGCTCATTGCTTAACGCACACGCAACCTGCTAATGCAATACTAAACATGAAAGCATACACCAGTGACAATTAAATATTCCACTTTGTCTCGCTTGTGAAACCAGGAAGCTCCAATATTTCTCTTATTATTTGCTTAATGAGCTTGCACGCTAATGGCTGCAGTTTTTGCTTATTTCTGCATCAGTTCTCTTTGACGTAATCAGTATGTACTATGGATAATTAATGACATCGAAGGCTAACTGCTTGGTAACCATGTTAAGGTGCCTCAAATGCTTTATGGGAGCCTTCAAGCATTGATTTATTGTTTTGTGCTTTCACTGTTCCAAGCTTGAGTTTGAAAACTAAAATTTACCTAAAGAAGAGCTTTTATGTGTTGGGCAAAATCATGTTTTTTCAATAAGGTATCCACAACTCACAGCTAGATAACTGAATATTGGTGCCATTTCGTTGAGTGCCAGGTAGTGGTTGCCGTACTGAGAAATCTAAAGAAATTTCAATTCAAAATGTTCATAAATGAGTAAAAATAAATTATTTCTTCATTGCTCTTTTTATGCAGATAAGTGTAGTGTAATGCCTCTGAAAAATGGAGATATAAGCATTTTAGGCATTTATCTATGTACAGCTAACTTTTAGAGAAACGCTCAACTTTTATGAAAACGCAAAGCTTGTTATTTAATTTGTGTTAATTCACCAGTTGGCTCTTCTCTCTCTCACTATTTGCAATAACATTTCCAGCAAAGTCATATTACTGCCTTATTATTAAAAAAATTCACCGCAGACAAATGAACTTTGCGATATGCCACATAACGGAATAATTACGACAAACAGCTGGATAAAGTTGAATGAGTATCATACCACTGACAGAAGGTGAGGGAAAATCAAGTAAATGTCTTTTAAATTCACATTCATCGAAAGTTGCGCTTGATTATATAGAGAGAGATTACATTTTTTAATATTAATTAACGTGAAAGTTTTTAGAAAATTAAATTCCAGACATCAAATTGTGAAAGTATGTTAACTTTATCATTTCAACATTTGCTCATCAACGTGGTCAGCTACTGTTTAAAACCCCTTAACCAAACTAAATTTGACAATTTTCGTTCTTTAAAATATATAATATTTATTTGATTTTAGTATGCAAAACAACAACAGTGAAATAATCAAAACTTCTTCGTATGAAATTTGATCACATAGAGTAGCCCATATACGAGTAGTAACCAAATATATTATACACCATTAGAGAAAGAAAAAAAGGAGGAAATCGTAAATGATGCACATCCTTTTCATTTATTACTAGTAACTACTTATTATATTTATTAACAATGATTTAAATAACAATAGTTTCCAATTTCGAAAATAAATATTTAGATTTCAGAGGTTAACTTCGAAAAACCGAGAAATTACTTTTTTTACTTATGACTCAAAAAAATAGTTTTTGCTGTTGATATATGGTAGTCTTATTGATGTCGGTGCTGAAGCTTTCTATCATTAATTAAGCGTTGCCGATTAGCTTTCCGAAGAAAATATACAATGAGGCGACTAACGTTAAATTTACGTGGAATTTGCATTTGTTTCTGCTTCGAAAAATTCAGGTTCAGCGGAGTTATTCAAGGTCTGCTATTAAATTGAATACTTGGAATACTGTCTTCGACACTATCACGAGCAGCTGTAATAACATTTGTATAAATATGTATAAATATAATACATATGGTAAGCCTACACACTGAAAATGAATTTCTAGTAAAACCAATTCAATGCGCCAGTTCCGACTCGGTACTATCGTATGCATATGAGTGAGCACACACAGTGTGGCAAGTTCCTAGAATCTGCGGCGAAAAATATAATTTGTTAATGTCTGTTTTCTTTCTACGCCAAAACTAACATATAAGCTAAGTTTCATTAAATTCACTACTTCACACCCCCTTGCCGGACATAAAATTAAACGCTAAACTAAAAGATTTTGTATAGAATTTTTTAACACGATGTTAAATCGGTCAGAAATTTCTTAAGATCTTCTCCGACAATCTAAAATAATTGTGCTTCTATCATCGCTTTCTGACAGTCGGGTCTATGTAATTGATACAGACCCAGAATACCCAGCTAAGAACGGAATATCCGTGCCCACGACAGTCGGCACCATTCCTCGAAATTATTTCAGAAATGTTTTCAGCCGCTACAACAACAACATCCAGCGAAAACCTCTCAGCTCGCAAAAAGTTCACACATAACAACAACATGTTCTGCTTGCAGTTTAGCATCAATTATTTTTAATACAGGTCTCCTATTGATGTGGTGGTAAATTCTTGTTCTTTTAATAAATTTGTGAGTGAACACCAGAGCTTCTTCGAATAGACTATTCGTTAGTGAGGCAGCCTATTCCAGCAAATCATTCATAGATGGCTTCTGGTGTCTTATGAGAACATTTTAAAATTTCATTCCTTTTAAACTAAGTTTTTTCCGGTCTTGCAACACTGTACGGCGGCTGAACCTTTTGCATTACTGTGTTCCTGCGGGATCCGACAAATATACTGATGTGCTAGATAAATGAACAAGGCAGCCAGAGAGCGCGAAACACTGAGACTGAACACAGCATCAGTAAGATGGAGTAAGCAGAGGAGGCTGCACACAACACCGTCAGCAACATGGCAACTTTCAGCAAAATGCCAAACTGTTGCGGCAACCGCAGCAGTAGCAAGCCGACGACAGACGATGGATGAAGAAGGAGCATATGCAACAGAGGAGCGGTCATAAGCAGATGGCAAGGGAAAATTGCAGCAATAATCATTAAGGGAACAAGGGAGTTCAGCGTAGTCAAGTGTCATCGTCAGTTGCAGCAGCAACTACAGTATAACTAGAGAAATACTTTTAATAAGCAATAAATGCAGCCAGCGCTTTCAAGGGGCGCCAAGCAGCAACACTAAACAAGTTTATGTCAATCTAAACAAATGTGAATAATATAGCAGACAAAGTGGAAACGGCAGCGAGATCGGTGCAATGGAAGCGGTCCACTCAGCGAGATATCATTTCGAAGCGCAGCGGGTTTGGGTGGCTTAGACAAATGCGAATATAGGGCATATCCATTTTGTGGCATTGCCAATGCTGGTACGAGTCGGAACTTGCGCTGAGAGGCTTTTCAAACAGACAGCAACGGGGCGCAAAGCGTGACGGGTGGCAGTTGGCAGTGCCGTTGACAGTTGCGCGCGGCGCGACGGATTGCACGTTTGCCTGCCTGCCGGCGAGGACGAGCTGACGCGTACTACAAATGGGTGAAAGTTTCCACTTTCCAACATTTTTCATTTTTGTTTCAGCTTTCGCCATTTGATTTGTGATTATGTTGTTGCTTCGGAATTCTATGCCATTTTCCCTCTCTTTTGTTTTTATTTGTTGCTTGCTGTTCCTGGACCTGGTAGTAGTTCTGCCAGTTAGTTTGTTTCGGATGAGTTTTATTGTGGATGATAGCACATTTGGTATGCGAACAGCGAGCGACTGGTGACCCACAATGACAGCAGCCGGTCTAAACTTGGTCATTGTAGCACGACCCACACACACAGACACACTACTCATAAATCAACTCAAATGCGAGTATGCTGGCGGAATGAAATGCATTTTATTTGCCTTCGTGTAAGTGGTGCATGATTGGTTGCTTGCTTAGCGCAATTGCAACAACAATTTGCTAAGTCCATGAAACAGTGTTCCAACGAAACGGATTGTTGTGCACGGAATTTATTAAAAAAAAACATATTCGCAATCAACCGCAACGCAACCGAAACACCATAACAGCTAAGTTAGCTTAATTAAAATTAATAAGAGGAATGGAATTTGCGAAAGTTCGCTGCTAGCTGATGCAAAACACAAACTAAATTAACGCCTTTTAGACGACTCTGGCAGGTGGGATCAACTGAGATTTACGTGAGAATTGAACAATGCTTCTGCATTGTTGAGTCAAATGATGTTGATAAAAGATTTGTGTGTGGAAGTAATATTTGATTACAGTTATTTATACACTTTCTGCTACATTTGGATTTTCTAGGATTCAGAAATCTTTTTTTAATGGTTAACCATATTGAGACGTTGAATTTGATTCAGATACTCACTTAAAATGATATGTTCCATTTTCGTAGCCGAAAAACGGTACCGTATACGTCAGCATCCAAATGTTGCCACCACCGCAGTCATAGTAAGGTTTGGACCAGCGCCCGTCCTCGTATTTTACAGCCAGCGTGTCGTCCTCAACGCGCTCTTCGGTTTTGTTAGAGTAAAGATGGAAAGCTTAAAGAAACAAAGAGTAAAACATAGAGGAGTTTAGTATAAAAAAGAGATAGAGAGAGAGCAAATGTCAAGATCAGTTAAAAAGGCTTTTTTTGATTTTGAAAAAAATTCTGTGTTAAAGAATAGGCTGGGTAAAATTGCCAAGCGCAAGCTCATAATAATAAAAAGTCACTCTCGTATTGTCTTACACTAAAATAATAAGTGAGTTGAGGTAAATAATCCTAGTCCGCAATGGAAAAGTATTCGAAATAGAAAATTACTAGTTTAAACGCCTTTAGTTCCTAGTGAACCGGGCGTGTGCTACAGTTACGTCACATAAAAGGAAATTTTGTTCCGTTCTATCGGCAATGAAACCACACACCCTGTTCAAAATTGCTTCATCGTGGTTAAAGATGAAACTTCAAAAACATCTTGGGCTATGTTTAGCCGTAGTTTAACTCTACTTATTTTTGTGTGTTATGCCCTGTAAGAGCTTTCCTCGAAGCTTTCCTAAGCGCCGATAGGCTTTTACAACGAGGAATGCTTACCAATAAACTCACTTTGATCTCTTGCCCCACATTGTTCGAATAATTTAATATTCATTACAACAATTTTCTTACGCCTTTAAGCTTTTATGAAATGCGTAAGATTTCCGGCAATCAACTACGTCAATGTGGTGCGTAAAAGCGGCGCTATTATATTCACCACAAGAGCATGTGCGTACGAACCGCTGGAAATAAATGAAAATATTTACTTTGTCCGTTCGGCTAAGTCATTGCGTAGAAGTAGTATTTTTGTTGTGTCCGTATGTGGTATATCCATTAGAACGCGCGTAATGCGATTAGTCGCGCATCGGTGTCTCCCCTCTGATATCTGTATGTGTGTGTATGTGTACATTAAAGTCTTGTCCTTTTGTATTTTACAAATAAAGAGCCAAAGTTCAACTGAAAGTTCAGTCCAATTTGTCAACAACTTTAGGTAAAACTTTAACTTGAATTCTGAAATAAATTTTTGAGTTTCCTTCACACTCGCCGCTCCATTAACGCACCTACATACAACCTCAGAGACAATTTCTCAGCGCATACGCTCTCACCAGCCTCAGTTCAGTTACCATGGGCTATTGGCAGTAAGTCAATGTCGGTGTTGCCGTCTGCTGTCACCGTAAGTTGTTTGCGAGTTTGTTCGGCTCTCTGTGCCCCACAGCTCTCTTTTGCTGCTGCTATTGTTGTGTTGATGACATTTTTCATTACGAGATTTCAAGTTGTTGCTCTTTGATGTCAATAAATGACAACAGCCATTGCCATAACTCAAGCTTAGCTCACACGAACACACGATGCGTAACTTTTTCAGAGGGAAAAAGGGGAAAGGAAAACACTTGTGACTGCATACATGTCTGCAATTGGGGGGTACGTGCGTGTGCAATGGTACTTATCAACCCAGTCCTCAGCGTTTGCATTCATACACACACACACATACGCGCATGAAGACGCGTACTCAGTTCAATGGTGGACGGCTGACGGGAAAACTTTTATCATTTTCTGCACACTTTCTCCGATTTTGCAAACGACAACAAATATTGATTGCTCGAACTGGGCGACTTTTGAGGTATTGCAATGTATGTGAGCGCGTCTCAACGTTTATGTTGACTCTCACGTATAAATATTTGTGACTGTTAATTCAAAGGGATGTGCACGCAGTTTGGTCTGGCATGAAATTTAGCTGGCAATATTTTAACATTAGCTGGGTGGAGTTTAATAGTTGCTGAAACTCTCCTTGACAGAAAAAGTTATCGAAATGCTGTTTCTAAACGCTTTTCGAATCGAAACTTTACTTATAAGGGCCTGCAGCCAAAGGAGGTAGCCATTAAACATTTAACGACGGCTTCTTTGACGTCATGAAAGCCAAAATGCCTAGTGATGTCTAGGAAGTCTTATTTCAGTTGACTCACACTCGCGAGTATTTGTTTACTATTTCGAGTGCTATAAAAGCGTATTTACTTTTGCCCTGATTTTTAAACACATTTGTTGTTGTTTGCCAAAACTTATTTTGCTTCCGCTTTTCGCAACAATTTTGTCTCTCTTTGCCTTTCTTTCCATGTAATTTACCGATATAACTCAGATCTATTCGTTGGGGAATATTAGTTTTAGTTAAAGTTTCATAGCAAACTTTTGCAAAATATTAGCTATGTATTTGCATGTATGTTCGTGGAAATGTGGACAACAAGGCGAAATTTTTACAACTTCAGTGGCATCACTTGTCACGCGATTTTTGCTTTCACCATCGTAAATTACACGTGTACTCGTCTAACATGTTTATCTATTGTTCACGTCGACCATTTTTATTAATTAAGAGAATATTAAAGACGTTTTCTAAATAACTAATTTACTTTTATTTTGAAGATAAAGGTAAATCTAATGAAGAATGCTGCAATATAACTACTGCACAGTGGGAAGATGTTCTCGCCAAACGCAAACGGAACCGACCAAAGCAAACCTTTTAAGAGCTTATATCCACGAGCAAGTCAGAAAAAACGTGTTTTTGTGATTTTCTTTTGTTGTTAAATAGGTAAATAGGAATTTCATTTCATAAATATTGTAAATAAAAACTAAGAACATTTACAAATTCTAATTTTAATTACTCCGCTAAAAGATGTCTGGCAGAGAGGAAAATACTTTATTATCTCAAATTAAAGTTACTGATATAAAAACTAGGTAAAATATAAATTTTTGACAAAATAGGAACTTCCCAAAAAAAGTTGTTTTTTCTGAAAAACTTTACACGTGAAAGTGACTTAGCAAATCCAAATTATTCTTAAAAATCTTATTTATTCGATCATTATCGATTCTGCAATTATTTACAAATATATGAACATTCGATATCTATGCAAAAATAATAAATTTTTTAAGTTCATAAGTGCATATAACCTTTTAATCGAAACCAGCAGCAATTGTCAACATTAACAACCTAAAATTCAGCTAGGAAATGAAACTTTGAGTATAAAAACATATCAAAGATCCATAACTAAACAGGTGACCACTTGCCTTTGCAACAAACTTTTATATTTTATAAATATAACTATATAACCTTTAGAAGCTTCAACGCAAGAAAAAACAAGTATTTAAAATGCTTAATTTTTTATAAAAATTTTACATGAAAAACTCAAACGCTTTTTCGAGCAAATTGTAATTATGTATGAGTACATGCACACACAAGGGTATACAATGTAAACTAAAGTAATTTCAGCGGACGCTAATTAGTCAAAATATAATCACTTGCATTTTTGGCGAGGCTTACAGTTGTTGTTTCGCTCGCTTCACCATGGAAGCCAATCGAATGTTCGCGCAAAAAAAAATGTATTTGTATTCATTTGTATTTTTGTTTGAATCTGTTAGACATACTAATTAAAAGAGGCGGCTTTTCAAAGCAAAAACGTTGCGATGTATATTAGGGTGCGCCAAAAAAAAATTTGAGTTTTTTACCTTAGATACCGTGAAAGTATCGTCCGAAATGGAGAAAAACAAGAAAACAAGTCGGCATGAGCAGACTGGCTCGTGTATATGGTATACATACCTTATTTCGGGTATAAAAATTCTGGGAGAGTTTGAGTTGAGGTATTATGATTTTTGATTTCCCGTATAAATAACGCCTGAATACTATCTTATTTTTAACTGTTAAATGAAAATTAAAGCGTATTCTTGTAGGGAATTTAACCGTCTACAAAAAATATCTGAAATTATTTCAAAGACAAAATCTAACTTTAATCGTAAAAGATAATTTTTACAATTTTTTATGTTCTTTCAAAACATCACGCCTCGAAATCATGAGACCATTTTGGTAGATCGCTAAATTCTCTACAAGAAAAAGTTAATTTCATTTCATTTCATTTTGAATGTACAATAATTCGTTCAAATGCATTAAACATCCAAACAAAATAAGATTCCTGTGTTGTTATATTTATATGGGAAATCGAACATCACAAATTTAATATTAAAATCTCAAACTTTATTTTGTTTCGTACGTTCAGACGATGTTTTCATGGTGTATAAGAAAAAAGACTAACAGTTTTTTGGCCCACCTTAATGTAGCAAACAAATGATATTGACTTTCATAGAATATTTAATAATTGCAACTGACTGAATACCTGCAATAGACAAATCTACATTTAAACTCAACTGCGTTACTATTTTTGTCTGACATGAATAATACAAATCTCCTAAAGATAACAATTTCATTTAATTAAAAACTACAATTAATTTATTGCATCACAAAGGACATGAGAGCTTTGTGATTCGGCAATGTAATTAACCAGCAATTAATTAATGCCTTTAAAACAGTTATATATTTAATGAACTAATTTTTAACAAGTAAGGAAGTACTAAGTTCGGGTGTAACCGAACATTTTATACTCTCGCAGCTTGCAAGGATCAAAGTCCGGTAAAGTACTTCAGGTGTTGGCAAAATTTCATATTAAAGGAAGTATTGATCCGATTCAACCCATTTTTGACACAAAAACATACTATTATCGAGAGTTAAATTTAATTATTTTATTATATGAATTCTAATTATATATCTTACACATTGACCGATATTTTCGGTAAAAAATCAACTATAGACACTGGGGTCCATATATAATTAGTATTTAGGGGCTTGAACAGTTTTGGTACAATTCGACAATTTTTGGTCACAAGATGGCACACTTTAAACGCATTATTCACGCAAAGAACCCCCGAAACAATCATTGTTGCTTGATTTGCATAGTAGAAAGTGGAGGAATAAAATGGAATTTAAAATGGTGTTATATGGGAAATAGGCGTGGTTGTAATTCGATTTCGACCATTTTCGCACTATAACATATTGTAGATATATAAGAATAATGTTATATACCGGTTATATTTGGTTGAAATCGGTTAAGCAGATCCCAAGATATGGGTTTTCACCTAAAAGTGGGCGGTGCCACGCCCACTGTCTAATTTTGAACGCGGTTCCTACAAAGTCGCTCCCAGTAGTTTTTAACAGTACCGTTATATAAGGAGTGGGTGGAGTTTCCACCCGATTTCGTCCATTTTCACACTGTCGATAGAGGTGCTAAAAATACTTGTTCTCAGTCAATTTTGTTATTATAGATTTAGCGGTTTAGGAGATATGCACATTAAACCCCCCACTTTTTTAAAAATTTTAAACTACAGATGCTTGAAAACTATTATACTCTGTAGCAACATGTTGCGAGAGTATAAAAATGCAGTATATTAATAAGTAATTAATATAATTAACCCCTGGATAATATTGGATAATTTCGTACTAGTTCATATCTAAGGAAAAGGTATGCAGTATCACCAATCGCCAGCTGTTCTTCTAAAACTGAACTTGAACGCATACAAGTAATCAAACTAGTTCTGAACTAGTCCAATTTAATAAAAAATTGTTGAACTCTCTTCTTAAGACGGACGCGGCAAAGCACATAAGTCGCCTCTAAATGCCGTTATGTAGGCGCAAGTATTCGGTGGAAGCTCAAAACGAATATCCATGTATAACATATGTATACAGTTATGCAGGGTATAACCGCAAACTCTGTTTCTCTTGTTTGTGCAGCAAATTGTTTGCGGTTTTGAGGATAGAAATGCTCTTCATGCAATAGTTTGCTGTCGAATTCACCAGTGTTACTGCATTGTTGTGGTCAATATCTTCATTAAAATGCGAGTTCATGGAATAGATAAATGTGAGAACATATGCAAACTTTTACCCAAATATCATTTTAGCAGTATATAAATATTTACCAACTAAAGTGAAATTTAGTGATTTCTTCGATAAAAGGAATACTTAGGGGTATGGGTACCATATTTAATTTGAAATTTTTGATGTATATTTAACAAGTTTAAGAGTGGAAGAAAAAACACCACAGAAACCATATAATCAGGATCTCATTCTACAAAACATAACTCTGAAAAACTGAGAGTGCAGTTAATTTTTTATTTTTATTCAATATTTTTAGGCGGTACTTGTAATGTGTGTGAAAATTTACAACGCCCCCTTTATCTAAAGTTGTATACCTGAAATCCGATTGCCTCACTTTGATTGGCGCATGTTCTACGACCCTTATGGACATCCTACTTGCGACAAGATCATCACCTCTGTGTCGATTTTTAGTTACATTGTAAGCACGCATTCCGCCTTACACATCGAAATCTGTTTAATGCGATGTCTTCTCAATTATGGACAGTGTCAAAACAATCACCAGAACTTCAGAGACATATTTTGTTCCCCGTCCATTTCATCTCTTGGTAACCATTCTATATTCGAGTGCATCAAGCGAATAAAAATAAGTCTCCAATTTAAGAAATTTCCAGACTCTTGCCGGAGTACTAAAAATGGTCATCATTTTATTGATTTAAAAAAACCGGATGTTTCCGCGACCCTAGCACTTTCTAGTAGATAGTTAGAAACTACGCATTTTAGACTTTGGTAGACTTATAGCTCAAAAAGGTTCTCAGCCTAGATTTAAAGCCACACGGGTTAGTTACCTCCCCTCGATCAAGAGTTGCTTCCAATGCCTGAATGTGAGCGAAGATTATTCCTCATATCAATTCGTAGTACTACAACTCTGTTAATATATTTATATAAATGTTACTTAAGCTCCTCCCTGCCTGTATATTGGCTCTAATAAAAGTATAAAAATATAGTTCTGCACACCGAAGTCGAGTAGAAGTTTTTAAAAATCTGATATTCAAAGTTCTGTAATTGAAAGTTTTTTTAATAATTTTCGTGCACATGCACATTGTGTTCGCACACGTTGCTCTGATGTTTGCTATTGAAAGTTTACACGATGCACAGACATTTTTAAATAATCTTAAGGGCCAGTTTACTTCGTGTATGCACATGAGAAAACTTTCGAGTTTTAATAAAGCGCTATTGAAAAGATTTTTAATCAAACAACGTACAACCGCCGTAACTTCTGTGAGCAAAATGTCCAGAAAATAGTAAAACATATCCCTTTAAAATACATAAGTAACTTGTGGAAGCAACGTCTTAATACGTACCAGCCGGAACTCGGCAATTGTTGCTGCTCGTTTGCTTGTAAGACTTGCAAGAACCAATTTATCGAGGTTAGGTTCAATGGCTTATTCTCAAGATGGGAAACTTGCACTACTACGTATAGTCCTTTGTGAAGCCATAAAATAGAACTTGTGTAATCATATCTTATAAGTCTACAAAGCGCTTTGAGGCCAATACAAATTCTGCTTAGCCATTTTATTTCTATTCCCACCAGCTCAAAGAGATGTCTGAAAGTGTATGGTACACTCCCAAGCGTTAAGTCGTAGGAAGTATTGAGATGTTTATACTTTCGAACAGCTTCCACAACTGGCTTTCGGGAAGATTATCAACCTTACCGCATGCACAGCGATAGAGCAATGACCAGTAAGAAAGCCTACAGCTAGGGAAAGGTTAACTTTTATGACGACGAAGCAATCATAAGACCTCTTACGATTCAGCTTGGTCCAAAAGGATCTTGCAATAGCGTAGATCTACCGCAACCTTAATGACAGCAACCACCAATCTTTTCCCAAAGTTTTGTCCCATCCCACTCACATTTCCCTCGCAGGCAGCATATGGGCAGTGAAAATACTACCCACATTTTGGTGTGCGTGGATTCCTGAGTGTTTAGACACACATTCAATTAGAAAACCCACCTTTTGTTTAACATCCAGTACTGCATGCTCTTTAATACTTAACAGCAGTTTGGCACTCCCCAAGATATTTTATTCCCACACGCAACACACGTGCACCTAACAAAGTTGTAAGTGCAAATTTTCTCCGCTTACACGTGGTTCTTGTACACCTTTAATCTGTTCGCATCTGAAAGCAGTTGCATGAATTTTTGTTTGAAAACCTTTGTTGCAAGCAAATTTAAATTAAATACCGCTCTCCGCTCTACACTTTTCGCTTACGCTCTGTGTGTTTCTTCATATTTATTTTATTTTTGGTTTTTCTTTTTATTTTCAGTTTACCTTTTCCTTCTCTTTATTTACTTTGTGCATGGACAGTGCTGTCCATGCTATTGCTGCGGCTTGTTGTTGCTGTTGGTCACGGTTTTTGCTAGCGAGCGCAAAGTGGCTCAAGTGTTATGCATGTATGCACATAAACGCTGAAAAAGCGGCAGGGAAGCCTTTCGTAAAATTGTTTACCCGTAAGCAGTAGTTTTTTCCAATTGGCCTTACCATTTTTTGGGGTTTTAATTGTCAGTCAGGGAAGAGTTTTTGGAAATCTTGGTTATTCAATTAACAGCTTTTTCTACGGCGTAAATATAATGAACTAGTGGACAAACGGATAACGTCTGATTGGGGCATAATAGCAAAATAAACCGTTTTTTTGCCTTTTCTAGCTGAAATATATCTCTGATAGTAGGATTGCTCTGCCATAAAGACAGCTCATTTTGTGCAAGTCACAAATGACATTTTGTTTTACTTACATTTTAGATATTGCTCGTTGCGAATAATCACTTTTTCGGCGTTTTTGCGAGCTTGAAAGAACCATTCGGACGTGTTGCCGAGATAATGATATTCCATGGAGAGGTCCTTGGCCAGGATTGCGCCGAGGTGTGGGGCTGGCAGACGATAGGCGAATGGGCAGAAAAGTCCCAACTGCGAAGGATGTTCATTCCAATCGAAGCAATTTCCAGCGGCAAAGATGTCGTCGTCAAATTCAACCATCGAAAGCACGGAAGCATGCAGCAGATTAACGTCGGCCTGCGCGGCCGGTGCAGTCATCTTGAAAATTCTGCAAAAATGCAAATAGAATAAATAAATTACTAAGCGAGATTTCGCCAAATATATATCATATGTGCATCATCTACATATGCAATAGTATGTGTATATAATAGAAATAATTTATGTTACGTATACGCCCCTGCAAACAGAGAAAGCTGGCTTGCTAGCTAGGAGGCGCGGTATCCAATTGGCCTTATTCGAATCATGCGAAAATTACGACATTTACCAGATTTTACCGTTATACAACTTTCAACGTAAGCGGAAGCAACGCATACGTAACTCGCATAACAATGAAATAGAAGGAAATACATATGTATAATCAATGAAAAAGCAGAATATTTATGAAAACAAATTGACAATTTGCCACGCGATGTGGCAGATGAGAAACAATTCCGTTATAAAAAGCAGAGCAACTGTGCTTATTTACATTTAATTATGCTAATTTGCAATACTCATAAGTTATGAACGAGCTGCAACACTCGTCGCGTCGGAAGCTGTAAACAAATGCAAGAGAAAATAAAAATTAACCAAAAACGCAAGTGAAGCCAAATATAAAAATGGAAAGGAAAAAATTTAACACTAAAAACCGCCAGCATAATGAAAAGTAAACCGCGACATAACCCCGACAATCAAGCAATCGAGAACAATAATTCGAAAGCAATGCGAGCGAATTCACAAGTAAAAGGGAGGGGATGAAAGTCATTACAATTAATGCAGATTAAAAATAAACTGTGTCGCTGGACAGAAGCAATTAGATTGATTGAAATTCAAGTAAAGCCTGCGCTAACGTACCAGTGTAATGAAGGCTCACAACTGCCAGACCTGAGGAAATTGTTACCATGAAAGAAATATGTAGGTGTATGGATTATTTACTTAGAAGGTAGGTTGCGGTGCTTGCATTCAATATAAATACCTTCACTGAGCTCACCGGCTGATTATCGTGCTACACGCCAGTGTTGTTACTATTTAATTACGGAATTAATGTTTGCGAAAGATGTAAACATATATAATTTGCACCGTGTCTCATTCTCTCAGTAAAATTCAGTGCTCAACCCACATTGTTGCATTCAATTTTGTTTTATTTTTTATTGGTTCAGAATCAAATAAATAAGAATTCATATTTATGTCCATACAATGATCTCCGAGCAACTGACTCGGCCGTCATCGGGGACATCTCGACCGACTTGGGAATGTCAACCCTTAACACAAAAAGTTATTCAAATTCCGAGTTAATTCACATTCCGTTATGTGCGAAGCTAATTAGCAGCATTCATTTATAACAAAAAAAATGTTCGGCACTCAAGCTATAATACCCTTCACAAGTGCATTTTGTTCATGTCTGCAATGGTTGTATGTTCAAAGCAAGCAATTATTCTAAAAATAATCGAAATCTTTGTCTCCACTTGGTTAGATATTACTTGTACATAAATCTTTTCTCAGTTTCTCCAACCACAGTGCAAAGCCATCAACATAAATATTAGTCCGCACATAATTAAATGAATTTAACGCGCATTTACAGCTACCGCAAAAACCAGTGAAATATGGAAGCTTATCCTTCTACAACGCGTGCCGATTCTATGCCAAAAGTTCACACAATTTACTCAGATATTTCATGCAATTATTATGCGGAAATAAAATAAAATTAATGGTTTCAGCTCAACGGGAAAATGTTGGCAGTTCACAAGAAATTAAAAGTTCTACGAGCGTACAGCGTACGTATGTGTATGTAATCTGTAACAGAAGTTTTTTGTCTCCGCGCCATACGTCATAAATCTGCCGGAGCTGTAAATTATACGTTTTTTGTTGTGGACGCCGGTTAAATAAGCGTTGCAAAGGAGGAAAGCAATATTTCACACGCTCCACACTCTGGGCCCTCGCCTTCAATGCTTTTTACCCGTGCACTACTTGTCTTGTTATTGCTTTCTTTTTGTTTGGTATTTGTTGCTGCTTAAATTATGATAATTAACTGCGCTTGCCAGCAACATAATTTTAAAATGAAAGCGAACTCTTCCTTTGTCGAGTTACTTGTAATTACCATCGGTTAACCGCATGTAACCGCCGGGGGTATTTTTTTTATTGTTTTTTTGTAAAACTAATTTTTATGCCTGCAGTGTCTTCACTGATCAACTTTATACAGTTTTTAGTTAGTTTGGGGAAAAAATTTAATGAAGTTGGCAACAATTGAAAACCTTCTCGCTGCGAAAGATGCGCTGCAACTGACAGCTGGCTGTGCTGTTTCTGGTAATTGACTATTAGAGCACACCATTTAACGTTACAATTCAGTGAATTGAATTTAAAGCACATACAGCAGCTGAAGTTCTACGCCAAGTGCTGGCAAACACTCTTTAAGACACTCTTGCCTTCGACATTAACACTTAAACCCACCCCGGGAAGCTGCTCGGAAGCGTGCATTTGTGCGCAATTGAGCTTTTCTGAAACAAAACCTCGAGTGACGTTACTAAGACACTTACTTGCAGTCACTTCAGCGTACTTGCCAAGAAAAAACAAACTGGAAAGAGATTAAAGCTGCGAAACAAGAAAGGAAATGGCGCGTGGGCGTGTGACTGGCTTGCACGTTCGCAGTTGCAAGTGTTGAGTCTGTCGCTCTGGTCCGTGATTCTACTTTAGATTGATGCAAATGCGCACCGTTATTTGCGAAGAACTCACATCAAGGCAGGTGTGTAAACGCACCTACTAGGAAAACTTTGGTTTACTTTATCAAAATCTTGAAAGGCGAACATTTTAATTAATCTTTTATTAACAGTTAGAATTTGAAATTAAAACATCAAATCAGTTAAATAAAGTGTCTACTGATTTTGTTATTTTGTTTTTTCACTCTTTTATTTAGGTCATACGATATCGAAACGATATCAAAAGCATACAAATTTATTTTTGTACTGAACATGTACGCAAATGATCAGCGTCTCGAGCAGTAAACTAGTGACAAACTGGTTACCAACTAGTTTCAAAGCTTATATAAATTCGTTCAGTTGTGCGTACCTAAAATATGACAGCAAAAAACAACAGATATGCTACAAATAGTTGCAGAAGCTAGACAGAACTTTCTCTTCTGGGTTCATAGACGTGGTACATATTATACATGAGTATTCGCTATACATATAATATAATATATCAACTTTCGTGTAAACAATATACATATTTATAGCATTGTATTAAGCGTCTACATAGTCAATAGCTGCATGAGAAGCTCTTAGGAAAACAAAGTAACTGTTTTGCAATTCGCAGGCACACTTTAATCCTCTTTAAGCGATTTAACTGCAAATAGAGGGAAATTAAGCTATTTAGGATTCAGGTACTTCTTACCGGAAAAAAATGTGTTCGTTATGCATGCAATCTGAATTGTATAACGCATTTGGTGAGTGAGGTTCAGCAATGCAAAAACATGACATATACTATACTTATGTTTTAAGGGATTGAAACAATTTCAGAGTTCGCTGAAACTGATAAAATTTAAACTGCATCGATGAACATTGTTTTCTAGATTTCTACAACCACGAAAACTTTGTCTGACGATTTTTGCCATGGTAAAAAATTTAACAACGATTTTACTTGACACTTTTGGTTTACAATGAAATCACGGCTGCAGAATCGTTGAAAATGTTGCAGACACAGTTTGCGGAATCTACTTTAACACTCACGAGCACAGGTATTTGAGTGGCAGAAAGTATTCAGTGAAGGTCATGAAAACTTGCATCATGCGAGTCGTCCTTTGTTCATGACGATAACGTTGAAAAAGTTAAATAAGCAGTATTTTAATATCGTCGCGTTGGCATCAAATTGATAAAAGATGAACTCAGCTTTGGGAGAGATTTTAAAACAAAGTAATCCATATGACGATATAGTGATGGTATTATGGCCTGGATTTGAAGATATGGTTTTAAACTCTCTACGCGCTCAGCTAGATGAAACGATTTGCCGCAAGTGTTTTTTATTTTTGGACTCCAGACGAGTGGACGGACAAGAGGCCACCAAGCTCTTAAATTAATGTGCTGACTGAAGCAACAACCAATGAGTTAATCAAATAAATTATTCATTGTTGAAAAAAAAATATAAATTTCCTTTTACTTTTTGGAATGTTGGATAACACACTGCGCTATGGACCACCCTGTGTGTACTTTAAAAAAATTCTACTATGAATTTGTCGTAAATACTAGAGTGCTTCTTATATGCAGCAGAAGGGCGACAACAGACGAAAAATACACAAATTTGTAAGGAGAAAGAGCTAACAACAGCAAATTTAAATATCTGCGAATATAACAAGTTTTGAGATTCGCGCCCACACACATCCACACACAACCACACTTAAACACGCTGTTAACTCGCACAAGCTAAATGCAATTACTTCTTGGCAATTGCGATGATGCGCGACAAAAACGCGCACGCACACGCATACTAACACGCTCAAGATTATTTCGGCATATGTCTGTGTCGTTAAGCATGGCTGGTGCTGTGTGTGTGTGGGTGTGTGAGTGCGCTCACATAAAGTTGCACGCAATTTCCAACGCCATAAGCTGTCGTCTGTCTTTCTGTTGCAGCAGCTGTCACTGCAGTTGCCCTCTGCTCTCTGCCCCGGCCACGATCCGCACAGACACCTGACCGTGGTGTAGGTGCCGCAGCAACATGCAAGTACATCTACCACACATAAATTCGTGGCGCCACATTGTGGCGAATGGCAAGTACATGGCTGCAGCAGCTATTGTTGTTGTTGTGTTGTTTTAATCTCATGCCAGCGTTAGTGTGTAAAGCCACTATTATCTAACATCAAGTTGGATTATATTCTTGGCAAGGCACTCAGCAAAGCTATTCGCGCTGACTGCAGCTGGAAACAGGCTTGCGGCACGGGGCTGAGGCTTCAGCTGCAGTCGTGGCGCGTGGCGGAAAGGTGCCGCCTTCGTGAAATGTTGAGGCACATTCATGGCAGGTGCTTCCATTATATGTGTTTACATACATATATACTTCCATCTGTTGTTGCTCGCTAGTTTGTGTGTA